CGGCTGTGGCCCAGCTCTGGGGACAACATGGAGCCCCCGGGGGGGCAGCCACCACCTCAGACCCCCTGGTGACCTGGTCCTTGAGTGGGGCCCTGAGCCTACCGCATCTTAAAGGAAATCTCAAGATAAGAGGGCTCCAGCCCAGGGCAAAACCAGGGGTCACCCTTCAGAGTGTGACAGAAACGCAACCCAGGCACTTCCTGCCACAGGCTGGGGTGCTGCAGCCTGGGGCACTGTGGAGGGGGCCCAATCTGGAGGGCTTTCCTCAAAGAGGAATTGAAAATCTCCAGCTGGAATTGCTTGCTGCAGCAGGTCCAAAAATACAGTTACAGGAATCGCAGGAAGCATGTGAGAGGGCGGGGGGGACACTTGGGTCAGGACGACCTTGGGGAGCAAGACCCACCCGGCACATACTTCCCTGGAGCAGGAGGGGTAGGGACAGGGGCTGGGGACACAGGACCCGGCTGCAGGGCCAGGGTTTCTGCAACCTGAGCCACGCGTCAGGGGGTCTCACAGCCAGGTTTGTGCAGGGATGAAAAAAATTGCCACATGCAGTGAAAAGGTGGGCTGCTGTGACCTGCGTGGCCCTGCACGTTGACTGGCATTTGGGTGGGCAAAGAGCACTACCCCTTCAAGATCTGATTCTCCAGAGCAGCCCAGGAAGCACTGAAGGCCACCAGACTGCCTTGTCACAGGGACAGGGCAGAGCTGAGGGTCCACGGCTCTCTCTCCCAGTGGGCGTCCCTCCCACTGGGCATCTCTTCTGTCATGGGCATCTCTCCTGTGATGGGGACCCTTCTCTGTAATGAGCCGCTCTCTTTGCTGGCTTTGACTGGGGAACAGTTTTCTAGTCTCTATGAGCCTTGCTGTTGTCCTGGCTCTTTAATCCTAATCCTGGTGGCTATAAGCATTTCTGTCCCTGGCCCGAGGGCAGGCTTCCTTTGGGGCCACCAGCTATGGTCTGAGCCAGGCCACATTGGCCTAGCTGCTCTCCCACCCTGAGCTCACTGGGATCCCTGTGCCCTGCAGAGCTGGGTTAGGGCTTGTGGGGACAAGACAGGTCCCGGGCACCACCCGCTGTGGAGCCGGCCTCTGCTGCCCTTTGCCAGGGCCTGCAGGCCTATGCTGGCCTGGCTGCTGTGCTGTCCCCAGGCCAGGCCCTTTGGTTTTAATTGATTTTATGTTGTAGTTACAACTTTATTTATGAAGGTGTGAAGTGAAGGCACAACAAGAAAACAGAACTGGGGACCCCATGGCTTTAGTGCAGCCCTATTCCAGTCTCCCATGCCGGAGCTGTCAGGTAGGGTGTCTGCATTTGTGGAAGAGGCTCCAGGTTACTGGGGAGGCACCATCCTAGGCTACTGTCAGCCCCATTCTCCTAGCCTGGAGATGCAGCTCATTCACATTTTGGAACAAGGCTGATGTGGGGTCCAGGTACGGGACAGGACCTGGGCTTATCACTGGACCAGTGTGTAAGAGTGACAGAGCTGTGGTCCCTAGACCCAGCTGCCAGACCACATTCAGGCCAGGGTTTCAGTGCCAGACAGAAATTCTTTACTTCCAGGAGATCCTGATTAAGAGACTGGGCTCCCAGAGCAGCCGCCTGCCAGACTCTAGCAGGCCCAGCAAGGGCCAGGGGCTTGTCCTGCCCTGATCCAGGTGGGCCTGGCATCTAGACCCAGGTTCAGGGCTCCCTCCCCACCGATCAGAGGTCCTAAACCCAACCCAGGACTTGAAGCGCTGACCTTGGAGCCCTGCCCCTCCTGCAGAAGTGTGAACTGCTTGGCCAGAGGAGACTCAGCCCCCACCTTCCGGGCACCTCCTCCACCCACATTCCTGGCCCTGGGGACAAGCCCTGGCCCTTATACTTGCTTTGTCCCTCTCTCCAGGGCTTCTCTTATCTTGCTTCCCTCTGGTGTTGCTGCTGTCCTGCTGGCTGGCTTCCCTGTCCTGAGCTGAGAGGCCTCTGAGGTCCGCCTGGCTCCTCACAGGCTGCCTTCTACTAAATCCTTTCAGGCTGGGGTTCAGTGTCGAAGGATTTCTTCACTTCTGGGGGATTCTGGTTAAGAGATTGGGCTCCCAGAGCAGCCTGGCCTGAGCTCCTGGAAGGGGGTCATTCTATGAGGGACACAGAGTACAGTGTACACATGGGGCTGACCCCATGGAGGACAGGCTAGGCTGAGCTGGGGCAGGGAAGAGACATCCCCTGCCTTGACGGCTGCCCCAACACATCCACATGCACGTATGCACAGATATGTGCATTCATGCACACAGAGGCACACACATACAGAACACAGAGGTGCACACATGTGCACAGACAGGCCTTGACATGCACATATGCAGTCACACAGGGGCTTTCACACACACACTCTCCTCCCTGGCATCCTGCCCCAACCTGGCTGCCCAGGACTCCGCTGGCTCCAGTCTGCACAGCTGTCCTCTCCGCAGGGCTGCCCTGCGCTGGCCAAGGATCAGCTCCTAGACTGGGGAAGCTGGGGTGTGAGCACTGGGTCCTCTGCACTTCCGTGCTGGGCCTGCGTAGACATTCGCATCAAGCCCCAGCACCTGCAGCCCCAGCACCAGGCCCTTGAGTACCCTCTGCAGGACAACAGCAAAACTCCAGGCTCCATGGGGCACGGACAGCCAAGCTCCACACTGCGGAAGTAACAAGGGCGTACAGGAAGCTTGTGGCCCACCTCCAGAGTCCAGGAAGAGCCGAGGTCAGTGCCAAGGCAAGGCGTCAGGACACGTCGCTTGTTTACCCAGAGCCCCAGACCTTGCCTGGCTCTCTTCAGGGTCTCAGGTTGGAGACGGACAGGGAACTGTCTCAGTGTCTCAGAGTTTGTCATTCTGCCATTCAGGGCTCAGCTCTGGGACCACTCCACACCCTCCTGCACCCACCCTGTTCCAGTGATTTCACTGTAAACTGGGCATGTGTACACTTTAGAGTTTTGAGATCATTTTTAAGGAGGTGGAAGTGGAAGATGTCAGGAGCTCCAGATGTTTTTCCCTCTGCACACAGCACTGTCTGCTTGGGCCGAGGGTCCAGAAGGCATGATGCTGAAGAGGCTATGATGTGTGCCTAGGCCTCCTTAGCACCCTGTGTCTGCCTGGACTTTATCTGAAATGACAGGTGACACTCCTGTCTCCCCAGTGCTCATGTCCCCAACCCTGGCCCCAAACCTGCAGCAGACCAGGTTCTCCTTAGGACGGCTGCCCTGGGCACCATGGCCACGCGGACCCCACAGTTCAAGGCTGTAACCTCATGACAGACACCATTGTCTTCCTCCCTGCACAGTGTGAGCAGACCACTGACTGTGGAACCACATCCCACATTGGGTACCCCCGGAGCTGAGAGTCCATGTCAGGACAGCGACCCCCTAGCCTTGGCAGCAGAGCCTGTTCTCCACCATCTTCTGTTGCCCTGCACACCCCTCCTTCAGGGGGCCTCAGGAGCAGGAATGGAAGACACTCAGGTTGCGGCAGCATCATGTGGGCACTGGGGCATGGTCTGGTCACAGTGGAGGGCTGAGCACAAGCCTAGAGAGCATAGGGGCTCTACGGGGCACCCACCCTGCCCTGCCCACCCTGGCATCCTGGCTTGAGGCCGAGCACCTTCCCACCCCACCAGCATTGCAACAAGCGACAGCCGTGGTGCTGTGCCGTCTCTACCACCACCATCCCACCAGACCAGCTTACCTTCTTTCCCATCCGCTGCAGCAGAGTGTGGCCATGACCAGGACCAGAGCCTTTCCCATGTGGGCCTTTGAGTCACCTGGGTGCTTGACCTTTCCAGGGGACTGTGCTTAATCTTGAGCACCCACATCAGGGTCCCTGGGGTTCCTCAGGCACACAACTGGTTTGTGAGCTAGAAGCTATCTAGTTTGCCCCAGTCACACGCAGAGCCCTGCCTACAGTCCGGCACCTGCACTCAGTGCTTTCTCCACAGAGGCAGAAACCCGTTCAGGGACCACATGCCTCAGCTCTTGGGCACAGATGAACACTCAGGCCCCAGGCCCACCTTGTCCTGAGGGGAGGTGGCTCTGGGAGAAGCCCAAGCAAGCTGGGAGCCCATGCACAGCTCCTGCCCCTGCTTGTCAGTGTCATATGCTGCTGTTTTGTGTGATGACAAAATGTGTCACGTTCTTTTTCTAGTGACTCATAAGGATAGACCTGTGACAGCTCTGGCACAGATGCCCTCCAGGTGGTGGCGATGCACCTGGAGGTTGCTGGTGGCCTCAGTCTGACCCCTTCCTCCTATGTCAGGTGGATCTAGCCATTTAAGTCAGTTCTGAGACCCTGCTCCCTGCCACATGCCAGGAGCTATGGCCAAGACAGTCTTCACTGTGTCTTTTGTCTTGGCCACAGTCACAGTGGTCTCCATCTTACTGAGCATCTCCAGCCTGGAAAGTTGCATGGTCTTTTCCCTGCAAGTCAAGCTCTGTCCCCACCACGGGGCTGAACACTCAGAAAACCACACCCATGTTACAGGATCCTGTGAGGACAGCAAAGTCACCAGACTTCCCGGCTTTAAAGAGCCCAGACTTGCTCTCTTATAGTGCTGGCGGTTGAGGCAAGGGTCAGCAGGGCTGTGTTCACATAGATATTCTGAGAGCCCCATCGGTAGGCCAGAGAGCACACGAGAGTCAGGGTGTACTGGCCTGCTCCCCACTACATAAGGGCCTCAGAATCCCTGGGTCCATGTGGTCCCATCCAGGACATCTCTGTCACCAGGCCACTGGCAGCAGCCTGACACCTTGGCAGGAACCCCAGGGTGACAGGTTTTACTCTGCACTCAGGGTGCCCAGAGAGTTTATCAGAGACTGGCACTTGGCGGTGCCCAGTGGTGGCTGCTGTGCTTCTAGGTTGGCCACGTGTGGGAGCTTGCTTCCCAGAGGCAGGGCCCCGGGTGCCTGGCAACAGCTTACTGGAGGCCTCACTGTGGCACAGTGTCCCATGTTTGTTTGTCCCCAAGGACCAGGAGTCCACTCTGGCCAGCAGCGTGAAAACTGCACACCACGCCCACTGGTTACCTGGGAAGTGAAGCTTGACATCGCAAGAACATTTTTTTCCACCTCACACTTTGTAAAGTCTGGGTTACGAAATAAATGAGGCATGAAATTTTTAGGACAAAGAAAGATTGAATTTGGAATTCAGGGAGGGGCAGGACATAATTTTCCCAAAATGATAATGACTTTTGTCCTTACTCAAGTGGGGGTGTCTTTGCATGTGTTTGACAAGTTCATCCACATTCCCAAGCTGTTCCATCGGACGTGTGGACTTGCTCAGCACTCCTCCACAGTCCACAGACCCAAGCCCTTCAAACTGCTCCCCACACCTGCCCATCAAGCCCTGAAATCTCACACATCTGTGGTTTTAGACTTACTACTTCACTTGCAAGTGTCTGTGATTCTATTTGCACTGACTGTCAAATTCAGCCAACTGGGCACTGTGGCTGTATAACTATAGCCATTTAAATGAAGTAGTTTATTTCTTTTTCATGCAAATGGAAAGTAGCAAACATCAGGGGATGATAGTAGTTGGGGACCCCACTACAATCTTTGCTCCACTGCACAGCTTGCAGGGCCTCCCTCCTCAGGGCCTACTCACACACAGAAGCACCAGCCATCACATGTGCTCTTCACCAAAGGCCAACCTCCACCTCCACCCCATTGGCTCTGCTTGTACAGGGATGGCTAGAACTCAATCACGTGGCCTTGTGTGCCCAGCTTTAGGTCAAGACACAGTTCTGTAACTGAGGATGAAGACAGAATACAGGTGCAGAAACGAGGGAGGTGTTAGGGCAGCGGTGTTTTGTGAGGCCATGTCCCTGTTGTCTCCGTGCTATATGAGCTCTTGTCCCCTAGTGGTGCCCACAGCCTCTCTGCAACACCTTCCCTCCCAGGCAAGTGTCAGGCAGAGGTGATGCGTGTTTGGATGGCAGGAGGTGGCCTTGGTTCCCTGGCAGAGTGGACAGCCTCCATGGGACACAGGCCTGGCACCTACAAGGGCCAAGGCCCAAGGAATGTGGGGTGGTGCAGCCCTCAGGGAGCCGCCTTGGTCAGCACAGGAGCGAAGGACAAGCAGGTCACTCGCAGTGGTGACAAATGGCATTTCTGCCCAAGGCTGACTCGAGCTCCCTCTGCCTACTGCCATCCGAATCCCTTCTGGCACAGGCCCCTGTCATGGTCAGCAGCTGCTTAGGAGGTGTGGGGGTCACGGCTCCAAGGACCAGACCATGTGTTTCAGGGAGCTAGCAGAGACCAAAGTCAGAACACAGTGCCCACCACGGCTCTGTGGGGTGCAGAGAGAGGAGGCGCCCAGGTTGAGAACTTGGAGGAGGCAGGAAAGAGGATCCTGGGAGAGCTGCTGAGCCGGGTGCAGGCCCTTGGGCTGAACCTGCGCTTTCTGCCCTCTGGTGGTTCTCGGCAGAACTCAGCCTGAGCCAGGGCTGCAGACAGGCCTGAGGACTGAAGTTCCCATTGGAAGTCATTTTCTGGCGAGACATCACACATTCTGAAGATCCATTCTCTGGCTTTCCCACGGGAAATGTCTTAAATAGTTGTCATGCTAATGAGCACAGTCACCGAGCCCCAAAATTGTGGCTGCCTTGCCAGGTGACGAAAGGGCTTTTGGAAACCGAATTTAGGGCATGACTGACAGGACTGCGTGAGTGGAGGACTTCCTAGCACACTGCTTGCAAGTCTCCTCGGCTGTGGCATGTGACACAGGCACACTCGAGGGACTCTGAAGAAAGGTCCTGCCCCAGTGGTGCACAGCAGCACTGCTGAGTGTACTGCAGTTTTCCAAGCTGAGGCCCAGGAAGATCCTCCCTAGAGCTGGGTGAGGGTCGATGGGGCCATGAGCCCCGAACCTCCCGAGGGTGGCTGGGATGAGCTCTGCAGCCCATCCTTGCTGTCAGAGATGCTGAGCCCAGGGCTGGAGTCAACTTGGAGGGGAAGAGCTCAGGAAACCCCAGAGAGTCACAACCACTCCCTGAGCCTCTGTGCCGCACTGTGGGCCACCGAACACGGTCCTGCTTACCAGCCACCGGAGGGATGGCGGTTCAGGGCCTGTGGACTCAATTATGGTGTGTGTTTAAAGAAAAGTTTATTACAGTAAAAGGGCTGATCAAAAATATGGTATGTGTTTACATAAAAGTTTATAACGGTAAAAGACACACTGCCATGATCCCCTCAGAATCCTCTCCTCGGAGCACACTCAGCCCATCGTCCTGGCAACTTTCTGTAGCAGCTCAGGAGTCCTTTTTCCTGAGTGTAAGTACCAGGTGTGATAAAAAATATGGTGACTGCTGCTGCCACACGCCACTTAGTGGGAAGGCAGCTTGTAGAAACACGAAGTCACCATATTCACCTCATTCACTGCATCTGGCACCGTGCTCGGCCCCAAAGTCAAAATGACCAGGAAAGGGAAACATTTTGAATCAATTCAGGACATCGAAACAGCCAGGACTCTCAGGAAAGAGGACTCCAGAGTTGCTGCAGAAGGTGGTGAGGATGGTGAGATGCGTGTGCTCAAAGGGAGGGGACGACTGTGAGGGAGGACAGGTGGCAATGTCTCTTTTACTGTAGTAAATGTTTTTAATTTAAACATACATTGTATGTTTTGATCACTTTGCTTTGATCAACTGCTTACAGTGATTTCTTAAAAAAAAAAAAAAACAAACATTGCAGTGTGTCCTCATCTATCTTATTCACAGGCTCTGGCTCTTCCCCCAAATCAATGCAACCATGAAAGGTTGACATTTGACTGACCAGCTCGGGACACTGAGGCAGCAGCAGCAGGCCAAGGCAGGCATGGTCCAAGTGGATGGCAGTGCTAGTGACAGTGTTGTCCTGGGGTCTGAACACATGTGAGCTCCTTACCTGTGCCCATTTCCAAAGATTAGAACTTCCTGGGGACAAAGCAGATCCTTTCTCTGAGATGCGACAGCACTCCAAAGAGTTTTGCTTTCTTTTTGCTCTGATTTGGGGTTTCACTCTCCCTGGCTTCCCAGGCAGATCATGCTCACTGGTCCCCTAGCAATCAGGCACACCTCAGGGTCATGATCTGGTGGTTTCCAAGCCCCAAGATTCCCACAGATAGGTGTGGCTGACTGAGGACAGCCTGGCGTGGCCCTTCTATTAATAATGACTTCTTGCACCCACAGAGCTCATTAAGAGAACAGACTGCACACGATGGTAACTAGCATGACTAATCATGATTAGAAAAACAAAGCCCACCATCAGGCAAGTTGCAATTAGGAGTTTACTGCCTTGCTCTTCACTGTGCTCAGTCGCATTCTTGGCTTCCTAACCCCAAGTGGGCCCTCTTCACATCCATCCCAAACCCTTCATTTCAGATCTAAAACCTCTCCTCCAGTGGCATCCCCTGCACGTTCTCCTTGCCCCCAGGGTTTGCTAAGCTCTGGCCTTTCTAGCCCTTCCTGCTCTGTTTGCCATGTAGCCAAGCGGAGAGGGACAAGGCAGAACTGGCCTGCCTCTCCCAGGGCCTTAGCCAGCACCATCTGGCTCCGACCTTGACATGCATCAGAGTCTGTTGGAGCAACCTTGTCTGCAGTGGCCGAGCTCCCCCATCTCTCTCAGCAACCCCCAGGCCTCTCCACTACTGCGTCACCAGAGCAGGGGTTTGGGTCTAGCCAGCCAGAAGGCAGAAGGCACCACATAGAGCCTGTGCAGGAAGCTGTGGGTGTACAGGATGACTGATCCTCTGCCTGTCCTCCGGACACAAGGCCTGGAAGGTCCCTCCCTGATCCCTGGCCTCACAGTCCTGCCTGCCATCATGAAAGGGCAAATCTCACAACTGTATCGATCCTGGGCTTCCTCATCCATCACAATGGGGCAAAAAGGCCTTCCTGAAGTGGATGCGTGGGTCCAGCAGAGCCTGAGGCTGCTGTCCTATTCCTGCCATTGCCATGGCCCATTCTATCAACCAGTGATGGCCCTGGGGGGCCCAACAGGGCAGAGTCCCCAGTGCCACGGTTCTCTGTGCATGTGGCTCTGAAGGTGCATTCAAGCACAGCTGGTGCCCCCTGCATGAAGCCCGTGGCCCACCCACAATTCTGCCTTAAACAGTGAGTGCCAATCAGGCCACTGTCAACATTTACAGACACAGTGGGCTCTCTCGCCTGCTCTCATCTTCCTGAAGACACCGCTAAATCCACACTGAGTCGCCTCTGAGGAGCTCTTGGGGATAATGCCTAGCTCGTTACTGAAAGTAGTCAGATGGCATGCCGATGGCTCGCAGTATCACCCTGCGGAGTCTGGTCAGCCTGTCCCCTGGTCTCCTGTTCCCACCCACAGCACCTTCCTTGCTGACAAAGTGTTCAGGGACCTGCTGTCCCTGGCTCCTGCTCCCCAGTCTGCCTCTGTCTCCCCAGATTTGATTAACTAGCACCTGACCATGGTGTCTATGAGCTTCAGACTGTGGCATAAACAGCTTCTGTCTCCCTCTCTCCCCACAGGAATATTTCTATCCAAGATACCAAGGTAAGTCTCAGTCACTACTTTTCTTGTCATAAAGGCATAGCTGGGGGATTCAGCTCTGTGTGGAGGACCCTGCCGACAAGGTATTCCAGGGAGAGATGCAGCTTTGGAACTCTGCAAACCCAAGCTCACTGGACAAGGACACAAGCTTCTTCATTTTTTATACCATAGTTTTATTCTATTGGTGGCTGAACTTTGATTCGAGGCTATGATTTGCAGTCCTCTTTTCTGATTTGATGTCCACCTGCACCCACAGTTCAGAAATATGGAGATTTAGTGTCCTCAAACTCAATGGCCTCAGAACTCTGCACTTCTGAAATTACTGAGGACCCAAAGAGCTGTGTACTTCTTGGCCAAATTTATTGGCATTGGCCATGTTTGTTAAGACTGAGAACACTCAGAAATGTTTGTGTTGGCTTGAGGAATTCACAAACACTTGGCTACTGGAGCAAACATTGGTGATTCTGGAAAACCCCATGTGCACCTGTGCCTTAATGCCATGGGGTAGTGACTCTGACTCCACGCATGCCCTGAGAGCAGCTCTGAGTCACCACTGAGAATCACTTGTCCAGTCAGCAGTGTTTTACAGTCTTTGGGTGTGGGTTTCCCAGAGGAGAGCTGTACTCCTGCCTTTCTGATTTTGCCAAGGGCATGAAGGTTAAGCTATCGGCCCCACCTCCTCCCAGGCTCCTGCTTGGTGCCTATTCCTGCCAACAAGCAAAGGGACCCTGTTGGCCCTGGGAAGCCCAGGGGGCCTCGTCTCTGCATGCGCTGGCTTTGGGTCCCAAGGCCAAGAGAGAACCCATCCCCACAATATACTCATTGTTCTCACCAACATCTTTTCACCTATGGACAATGGCAGTGACCCTGAGGATCTCTGCTGTACCCCCTCAATATACATGTCCAGAAACCACATTCTCGGCCTCCCCACGAGCTTACTGTCCAGCCATGTCCGGCAGGTCTGCTAGGGGGACTCTTGGGAGCAGGTGGACTTCAGGTGAAACACAGTGTGTTCTGAAAGGTCCCCGACCCCACTGGCTCACTTCAATGGGAGACAGGAGACGGCTCTGTTTCCCTGTGGGTGGCCGGGTGCAGAGCTCTGCCTCTAGGTGGGGGTGGCTTCCTTTCGTCACTACTGAGCCTTGTGCTAACAAGAGCCAAGCTTCACAGTGCTGCAGGATCAAAGCACCCAGCCAGAAGCAGTCTCATCCCCAGCCTCTCACCTGGAGCCTGGGCTCTGATGCCATCCTACCCCACCATGATGAGTGACCACCCTATCCCTTTTTTTTTTTTTTTTTTTTTTGAAAGGATCTTACTGCATAATTCAAGCTGGCCTTGAACTTACTACATAGCCCAAGCTTTGTCTAATTCTGTCTTGCAGAGTGCATCAACAAATATGGACCCCCAAACACCAAACACCCAGACTTTGTCACTTGTGTCCGGAGTAAGTGTGTCCCCATCTCACTGGAAGCACCACGTTCTGGGGTGTGCAAGGGTTGGGCTGCATCTGTGGTACAAAATGTAAATTCCCACAAGGTGTGACACAGAAGTGTGCCCCTCCTGTGTCCAGCCAAGGCTGCCTTGGGCCCTGTGAGTCCTCTGCTTCCCAAAGTGCAGAGGGCTCTGCTCTGAGGTTCCCAGCTCTCCTGCCTGCTCCATCCTATAGCTCACACACACCTCCTGTCAGGTTCACAGCCACCTTCTAAGTTCTTCCAATTCTCCCACTGTGAACCGGATAGAGTCATCCCCAGGGCCACTGTTGCCCGGTCCCTTCGTGTACCTGGGGCAGTTCACAAGGGTCAGCTCAAGCCTGCATCATTCCACATTCTGAGAGGCTGGTGTTCTCTCCTAACCTTGCCTCTCATTTTCACTTGGGAAAGCCTTCATGCCCAAGGTGCCCAGACAGCCTGCCCACTGCTGCTGTTGGCTTCCTTCCAGAGAGACAGCATTGCAGGTGTTCCTGCTACTGGTTCTCCTCCTGACAGAAGAGGGGCTGGCCTGGTCCTGCCTTGCCTGACTAAAGAGCCTTCTGGGCTTCTAGTCTGGAGTCTGTGCAGGCCCACAGCATCTGCCTGAGAGCCTGGCCTGGGCTTCAGTGTGTGACCAGGGGTGGCAGGAGGGCACTTTTGCACACTGGGAGGGAGGGAGGGAGGGAGGCAGGGAAACTTCCAAGATGAGGAGTAAGTGCTTCCTATCTGTGGCGCAGCAGCTCTGTGACACAGGACAGTGGCTATGGTACGAGGCCAGTCTGGGCATTGTGTGCTCCAGCAGAAGCCAGGCAGGCTGGTGGGTTCCACCCCAAGGCCCTAGGAGGCTCCACCCCTACTCCAGGGTCCCTGGTGTGCAGCCAGGCCAGCTGCAGATCTCAGGCACAGAGGGCTCAGTGTGGGCTCTGGCCTTCCCCATGCTGGGCCTGCCCACCTCTGACAGGTCAGCAGCCTGTGAAAAAGACTTATTGGAGCCCTGGGCATGATAACTTTCTGCCAACTGCCTGACCTCCAGTCTGCAGAGTGTGGGATTTTCCTGCCCAGCAGAGGCATCTGTGGGTTGCCCATGAGGGCCAAAGCATGGGCTGCTGTGCCCGCAAGGCTGGGGGGTGGCTCCCAAAGGATTCTTCCTGCTGGACCAGGTTTCCCACCCAGAGCCATGCCCAGTGCAGGGCCAGCTCTGAGAGCAGTGGTTGTCTGGGGCGGATACCTGAACAGGAAAGGCACAGGGTCCTAGTCTTTTTGGAAACTGGGTGGCGAGAGGCTTCTCCTGGGAGTTCTACCCTTTGCCCTTGGCTGCTCCCAGCAGCTGCTGCTCCTTCCAGGTGGCTTTGGGTTTTCCTGGACCAGCTCCAGCGCCTGGCCTGACCCAGTGGGGATCCTGCCCCCATGTCCCATCAGAGGTGGTGTGGGGCTTTGGGAACAGCTCAGAGTGACTTTCTCCTCTGTATCCTTCAATTCAGATCTGCCTGACCAATGCACCCCTAACCCGTGTTATAAGCAGGGGACCCAAGTCTGCCAGGACCTCATGGGCAACTTCTTCTGCGTGTGCAGAGCCGGTTGGGGGGGCCGGCGATGTGACAAAGGTAAGGCTGTGGTCTTGTCCACCTGCCCATCTCTTCCTTCCGCCCCTTCCTGGGTCCCACATGGTGGCCAACCTCAGCACCCTTCCAGGGCTACTTCCCTCCCCACACGCTGCCCTTGGTGCTGCTGCGTTGGGCTGGCCTGGAGCTATGGTGCCCTGAGGGCATGGGGCTGAGGCCACTGGGAATAGGTTTACAGTGGGGCAGCCCTGCTGAAGTCCACTACACCAAACCCTGAGGAGGAAGGCAGCTGGCGATGTCCCGCCTTGGGCAGTGTCTGCAACCAGGCACCTCTGGGATGGGGCAGTGTAGGGTATGGCTCTGGCTGGCCCTGTACCCCTGCCTGGGAATCCTTTTGGGCTTCCACCCTATGCTGTATGCACATGGGGACCCTGAGGCTAGACAACGCCAGAAGCTGGATCTCTCCTCTCCCACCACCTGACTTGTCTAATGCCCAGCCCACAAGCCCGAGGACATATGCACCTTGTGTCCCTCACCCCATCTCTGTGCCCAGATGTGGATGAGTGCAGCCAGGAGAGTGGAGGCTGCGGCCAGGTCTGCCTCAACACACCAGGCAGCTTCCACTGTGCCTGCCACAGCGGCTATGCGCTCAGCCTCAATGACAGCCGGACCTGTCACGGTGAGCCCCGCCATGCTGCCTGTGTCCGCTCTCCTCCTCCCTCTTCTCTGCTCCTCTTCCTGGGCTTGGGTGAGGGTGCATGTCTTCTGGGGACCTCACAGCCCAGAAGGGCAGCCCACCGGGGGCTCCCAGATCTGGAGGGCGAGATGGAGGTGCCAGGACAACTGATGAGGCTGTGTCCACTGGCACTGCCGGGCTCCTTCCAGCCCACAGCAATGAAGACCTCGAAAGCCCTGACCCCTGCACTGGGTCCAGGCTGTGCTCACCCTGCCTGCCCTGGTATCCACTGCTGCTGTCCCAGCCCACCTGATGCCAGCCTGCTGGCCCTTCTCCCAGACATAGATGAGTGTGCGGACACAGAGGCCTGCGGGGAGGCGCACTGCAAGAACCTGCCGGGTTCGTACACCTGCCTCTGTGATGAGGGCTTCGAATTCAGCACTCAGGACAAGGCCTGCCAAGGTATACTTGGGCCCTGTGGCCTCCTCCCCAGCCACTACCACCAGCCCAGTATTCCAAGAGCCACCACCAACCTGCTCAGGAGAGACTGGCTGGGACGTTTCAGGGAGGAGGTTCTGTGCTGAGGAGGCCATGCCATGCCCGGGGGTTTCTGCTGTTGTGTCTACATATATCTGTGCACGTTCCCTCACAGAGAGCAAACACCCACACACAAGTGCATACACAGTGGGTGCATGCCTGTGCACACACATGCCCTCACAGTGAACCCACACCTGCACAAAACTGCAGACACAGTGCACACACATGCACACACATGTCCTCACAGCAAACACCCGCACACAAGTGCATACACAGTGGGTGCATGCCTGTGCACACACATGCCCTCACAGTGAACCCACACCTGCACAAAACTGCAGACACAGTGCACACACATGCACACACATGTCCTCACAGCAGACACCCGCACACAAGTGCATACACGGTGCATGTAGGAGCACACAGGGGATCTCCTATTGTATGCACATACAACATGCATGCACATGCACACAAACAAACATGCTTGTGTGCATACATGGACATGTACCTGCCCACACATACACCCATGTAGCATGTACTCTGTTGATGGAAACACACATACACACCCATGCACCTGTATATACACACCTACTCACATGCTTGCGACACATGTGGCACACTGTTGGTGTGAACGCACATGCACATATACATGCACATGTGCAGACACACACCTTCGTCTCCATTCCCCAGACTGTGGTGCACACAAAGCCTCTTCAGACCAGGGAGACCTGCAGTGGGGGTGTACAGGCCTGTGAGGCTGATGTGACTCCCAGGTACAGAGGGCTGAGGCTCTGTCACTGGTCTCCTGGTAGCCACAGGAGGAGCTGAGACCTTCTGGGGAGCACATAGGGCCCCAACAGCCAGCGAGCAGAGGGAGGCCTCAGCCTGCACTCTCCCTGCATTCCCACAGTGCCCCTGGGGCCCAGCATCCCCACTCTACATCTGCAATACTGGCTTCTATGGCAGCAGGGCAGGCAGCACAAGGAGGGTGGGCTGGCTGCAGCGATCCTGCATGGGAAGATGTGTGTGCCGGCCACACGCCTCCGCCAGCCCTGGGGCTCTGTTGCCACATTCATGGTGACCTTCTGCCTGCAGATGTGGATGAGTGTGCGCAGGGACGCTGCGAGCAGACCTGTGTCAACACCCTGGGCAGCTACACCTGCCACTGCAATGGCCGCGGCGGCCTCAAGCTGTCCCCCGACATGGATACCTGTGAGGTGCGTGGCCCGTGCTATGGACAGCAAGGGACCCACATTACAGCCGCAGCAGGGCACCGCTGGGGAGGGCTCAGCGCTGTGGAGGGAGTTGGCTGTTGATGGAGTTGCCATAGCAACGTGGCCTCCCAGTGGCAGCCTGGCAGGGACTCAGGCTATTGGCACTCAGAGTGATGTTCTCTGCCTCCACCACAAGGGCTTAGAGACATGCTGGGCCCCAAGCAGTATGCCCAGCCTCCTCTGCCTCAACTTACCCTTCTACGAGCAGTCTCCTGAGGGGGGCTGGCCTCATTGCTCCTTGTCTCCCCAACTCTAGTTCTCCCCGCACACACCTGGGGAAAGCAGCTGCCCAGAGCAGGGAATGTTCTAGTATACCAGCCTTCAAGGTCACCGTATTCTACTCATTTTGTAGCAGTACAAGTGATTGCTTTTCCATTGTCCTCTCTGTTATACTTCACCACTTAACAAAAGCCAAAGAGCTCCAGCTGTCAAGGTTTGGACAGCAACCCCTGAGTCCTGGCCCTCTGTTTAGAGGCTTGGCATGAAGAGGCCCCGCTACTCTGAGATTCTAGAAGTGGGTCAGCAGCAGGGGTGGATCAGAGTCCCTGTCCCACAGCCAGGGCTCCAGGCAGCCACAGCTCAGCCTGCCTGACACATCCCTGTCCCCACAGGACATTTTGCCCTGTGTGCCCTTCAGCGCAGCCAAGAGCATGAAGTCCTTGTACCTGGGCCGCATGTTCAGTGGAGCCCCAGTGATCCGGCTGCGCTTCAAAAGGCTGCAGCCTACCAGGTGAGACAGGGTTCATGAACTGTGTCCCCATTTCAGAGCCCCCGGGGGATTGTGAGGGCTGAGGGCTGCTGAGCCTGCTGGTGTCCTGCTGCCCCAGACCCTGCACATAACACTGATTTGTCTCCTATTCTGATCAGGCTAGTGGCTGAGTTTGACTTCCGGACCTTTGACCCTGAAGGCATTCTCTTCTTTGCTGGAGGCCACTTGGACAGCAGTTGGGTAGTACTGGGCCTGCGGGCTGGCCGGCTGGAGCTGCAGCTACGCTACAATGGTGTTGGCCGTGTCACCAGCAGTGGTCCAGTCATCAACCATGGCCTGTGGCAAACAGTGAGTATGTCTGGGGCCCTCCCAATTGCTGGGCAGTGGGCACAGCCTGGGCCAGACTCTACCCCTCTAGGTACTATTCTGGGGCTGGGCACGAGCCTAGATGTTGCTTACTGCATACACCAGTGGCTGAGCATAGCCCTTCAGGAAGGGGACAGAGGGACAACCACCATGGGGTAGGAGAGAGGCTGGGGGCTGTGCAATGCCTGCAGCAAGCAGGCTCAAGCAGGTGCCCAGAGGAAGGTCTGGCCCGAGTCACTGTGGAACCTGGAACCGGCCACAGACACTGGCTCCCCTATATCTGGGCAAGCCCAGTCCAGGCTGCTCACAGAGGCTTTCAGGGCTCAGCCCTTGCCGGGGGCTCCCATCCCAGGCCCAGTCACAAGTGAGACGGTCTACACACCACAGCTGGCTTGGGAGTGGACTCTGCAGGAGAAGCGGAAAGACATGCTTTTTCCTTGGAACTAAGGACCAGACGAGAGCTTCGCCCAGCAGAAGCTGCCGCACTCACACCCACCTGCCAAGTCACGTCAGCCCCACCTTTGCCAGGAGCCATTCCAGGGGAGGGCATGCCCTGCACAGCACAAATGGCACCAAGTCCAGCAGAAGAGATGCAGGGGGCAGATTCTCTGCACAGCTCAAGGCAGAGTCTGGACAGCCCCTTGGTCGTACAGGGTCCACCCAGGCCAGCCCTTTCCTGTGCCCCTGCTGGCAGCGCCATGGCCCGACCCAGTTCAGCCTGGGCTCTTGAAGTGTGTTTGCACATTGGCGAGCAGGGAGGCTGATGTCTGCTGGATGACGAGGACGAATCTCAGGGTTCCTGCATGGAAAGTTCCAGAGGAATTTGTTTGCTCATTCAGCCCACAGCCTGTGCCAGGCACTGCACTGACTGCTAGGGTTAGAAAGGAAAACGCTCACACTTATAGGCATGCAAGGCTCCGGAGAAGCAAGGGGTGCTGGTGACATCAGGAAGCCTGGGAAGCTCATGGTCAAGTAAAGGGGTGCACAGAGGCTCGGGCTGAGCCTGGGCGGAGAAATCTGTGCTTCAAGGGGCACTCAGTCTGTAGGGAGCTTATGCAGTTGTGGAGGTGCGAGGCTGTGCACGTGTACAGTTGGAGACCAAGTGTGAGCAGCTGCTGGAGCCCCACAGGACGAAGGAGTTTGGGTTTCTCCTGAGAGCCAGAGCCAGTGAAGGCTCTGGGGAGGGAGAGGGCAGAGGTCATACGGAGGTCACCTTGGTCCACCCTCTACGTGGACGGCGACTGGGTGGGTGAACTGTACCCTCCCTCTGCAGCCAGCCCTACAGTCTCTGCTGGTGGACAGGCTCACCAACAACTCTGGAGCCACAGTCCCCAAGGACAGTCACAGGATAGAGTGTCCCACCCCAGGGAAGGCATGGCCTGCACAGCATGTCACCTGGCTTCCCTCGGGGACGGGGCTTCTAGGAGGTCAGGAGGAGCCACTCCGAGAGACCATCTCATGGACAGGGGCCGGCTGTGTCACCCTGAGCCTGGCTCTGCTCCACATGACCCCAGAGGGTCAGCTCCAGGCATGTTGATCCTCCCCACCCGGGGCCTGCTCCTCTGCAGAGCCACAGACTTGCGGTCTCAGCCCAGTGGCTCCAGGCCCATGGCGAGGATGTCTCTCAGATTTGGTCCATCCAGGCCAACACCTTCCCAGGTCCCCTGGCCCCTTGAGCACATGGGCGGTGAGCACCCCCAGTGGGTGCGGGGGCAGCTTCCAGAGAGAGAGAACATGGAGGAGGGTCGGGTCAAGCTGGAGGAGGACTGCAGAGATGTGGCCACCACAGAGAATGTGCTGGGTGAGTTGGAAATGTGGGGGCAGCAGAGGGCTTGTGCAGAAGCCTTGGGCCACAGGGCGAAGCTGAAGGGGTTGCCCACAGCAGCAGATGTGTAGCTCCCAGGCAGTGGCTCCAAGCGTTTACAGCCACGTAGAAGCCTGGAGCTGGCCAGGAGCCATGGCGTGACAGCTCCAGAAGAGTCACGAAGGAGACAACCTGGGACCTCAGGCTGTTTCCTGCACAATTCCCTCTATGTGGTGCTTGGCACTGTAGGAGAGAACTGCACCAAGGCCACTGTGAAAGGCCAGATCATGACACCCAGCCATGGCACCAGGTGGCGGCCTGACTGCCATGCAGTGGAGCTGTTAGGTATGAAGCAAAGGGGCCTCAGTGACAGCTGCAGAGTCACGCAGACAGAAGCACACGCTTCTCACTTGGGGTCAGAACCAAGAAAACCAAGCTCTGCCCAGGGATGAGGGCTCTGTGATAAATCCACAAGGAAAAGCAAGGCCACACAGGGGTGATTCCAACAGAGGACACATAGGTCCTCGGCCAGCTGTCCCCTGGCCTGGCCAGGCACTGCAGCTCCAGGAAGGCACATAGAGGTCGTGATTCTGTTCCTAGAACTCTCCACTCCTGGGTGACATTGCCATGCCATGCTCAGCGTGGTGGTGGCTCAGGGTGTATAGCAGCTGTGGCTCAGAGTTGGCTGGGGTCAGATTCCACCTTGTGGCCTGTAGCATCCCACAGGCCACACAAGCTACCACAGGACAGGGATCCCACTGTCCCCAAGCTCTAGGTTGGGACACGAAGGCCATGGGGCCTGGGTGACTCATACCACGCCAGCTCTCCTGATGCTGGAAGAGTGGCACTGACCATCCTGTGGGAAGCTCCCTGCAGTTCTGTCTTGTGCCAGATGGGTCACACTCCACTGGCCAGACCCTCTCTCTACTTGTCCTGACCTACAGTTTTATGCAGAAGCATAAAAGTGTCTGGGCCTCCTGCCAGCGTGCAGAGGTACAGAGGCACTGGGCAGCATCACCCTGGTGATGTGGCCAGGACCCTTGGGTGGGTCCTCTTACCTGGGGATGTGGCCCGGCCTTAGGCAGGCCCCTCAGTGGGATCGTCCCCCTCATGTCCTCACAGCTGCTTCTTCTTTAGATCTCTGTGGAGGAGCTGGATCGCAACCTAGTGATCAAGGTCAACAAGGACGCTGTGATGAAGATCGCGGTGGCTGGAGACCTATTCCAGCTGGACCGAGGCCTGTACCACCTGAACCTCACAGTGGGGGGCATTCCCTTCTCAGCCCAGGACCTTGTTCAGCCTGTGAGTGCCGTCGTGGGGCCTGGGGAGGTTCAGGGTGGGCCAGAGCTCCTGCTGCTGGGCCCGGCCCTACTGCTTCTTCCACTCCCACACTGGCAGGGGACAGCCAAGTTCCGGGGGGTCGGGGACAGAGGCACCGGGGAATGGAAAGGCTAGGATGTTGTCGTGTCCCCCCACTTCCTATGAGGCTCATTTTTTTCATTGAGTTAATTTCAAAATCGATTTTGTGGCAGAGAGAAAATGCAATGAAGTTTTTAACTAAAGATGAGTCACCTTTTTGGATGATTCCTAAGAACCTTTTGTGTTGTGGATCCTGCCCACAGTCCCATGAGGAAAGCACCCTAGTGGGAGGGTAGTGCTGACCATTTTCAAGTCCTGCCTCTTCTTGCCCCTGTGCCCCGCGCCATACCCACTGCCTGCCTCTCATCTCCCAGCCCCTCCGAGTGGGATCTCGGGGTCCACAGGAAGGGCTCCATGGCTGGATCTGCTCACCAGCACAAGGTTGCATGTGAACAGGAGACACCCTTTCCCTGCCCTGGTTGGCTTCCTTGCCCTCCAGGCAAAGCCTGCATCACCTCTGGTTCATGAGGGGAGGCCCGATGCACACAGGCCGTGGCCACACACTTGTCCGCAAGGAGGGGCCACCCTGGCCCCCTGAGCAGCGAGCAGCTCATTAAGGAGTACCCACCACAAATGAGATTTGCCTGGTTAGCCACAGATTTCCACAGGCCTGACGGAGAGGGCAGCCCTCCCTGGTTGGTGGGACTCCAGGCATGTGGCTTCTCCTCCTCCCGGCTGTAGTCATGCAGCCTTGGCTGGGAAACTGCTAGGACTTACCTGGGATGCACCTGTCCTTCCAGATCAACCCTCGCCTGGATGGCTGCATGAGGAGCTGGAGCTGGCTGAATGGGGAAGACAGCACTATCCAGGAAACGGTGAAAGCAAACACGAAGATGCAGTGTTTCTCGGTGACGGAGAAGGGGTCCTTCTTCCCTGGCAGCGGATTTGCCTTCTACAGCCTCAGCTACAGTGGGTCTCCCTCCCGCCCGGACACTGCGGAGACTCGCAGTCAGCCCGGCACTGGCAGCCAGAGGGGCCAGGCCATAATGTCCACCTTGGAGGGGTGGGAACAAGCAGGTGCCCAAGGTCAGGCCCATGCTACAGCCAAGTGTCAGGCAGAGTGCGGGGGATAGTTGAGGCCCCTGGTCTCAAAGTCACCTGGGGTGCTGGGCCCCAAGACCTGAGGTCTGAGCGTGGGGTCCCCCATAACACCACACAGAAAAAGCTGGCCAAGGAGAGGAGGCCAGGTGCCCGGAGAGCTCAGTAGCCAGCCAGCCTGGGGCTCCACCCCTCCAGCACAGCTCGATTTATTCCCACTTTCCCCATACACACAGCTCTCTCTGGTATACCACAGGAATTGCACACTGTGAGTGCTCTGGCCAGAGGGTTGCCTGGCCCATAGAGCCTGTGGGAGGACGGGGGCGAGTGGGGGCTTCCTGCCACTGGCTCCGGATAGAGCTCTGGGTAAGGCAGAACCTAGAGCCACAAGGCCTGGGTCTACTCCAGCTCTGGTCCAGGTGTCAGACCCAGAGGAGTAGCACTCGTGTCATCACTGTGCCCTGCACACACGTGTGTGCACGAGTTACGGTCAGCTACTGGGGGTCTGCATCACAGAGTGTCTCCCGGCGAAGGTCGTGTGGTCGCAGCCTCCTGGGCACCTCCCATCCCTCCCCAGACATGATAGGTCTGTCCCTGCGGCCAGGACGGGTGGGGACGGTTTCCAGGGTCTGCGGCTTCCCACTGGGCAGCTGCCCTCACCACCCCTCGACGTCCCTCTGTGATGCCGACTGTTCGCCCTCTCGCCTTCCCGCCATCTGTATGGCCTCGTAATGTGCGGCTTTCATGGCAGCGCGGACGTCCCTGGACACGGGGACTGGAGGAACCTGGAAAGTGGAAGTCGTGGCTCGGATTCGCCCCGCAGCCGATACGGGAGTGCTGCTCGCTCTGGTAGGCGGCAACCACACAGTGGCCCTGTCCGTGGCCCTGGTCGACTACCACTCCACGAAGAAGCTGAAGAAGCAGGTAGGACCCGGGCCTATCGCCAGCCCAGCTTCCAGTCTTAGGGGCTGCACCCCGCCCCGCCTCTGCCCAGGACAGCGCCTCCAGCTGTGGGGTCACAGTTCACACACTGTGGCTGGGATCTGACACCCAGGATGTGGGGCTTTGGCCTGCATGGATGAAAACAGTACTCAGGATGGGGTGGCTGGTGCTTGGCTCCACTTAGAGTTAGGCTGGGTTTCTCAGATCGGAGGTGGGGACATGGCCATGCTACCCCGCTGACTGCTCCAGGTGCCAGGCCCAGGTTTCCACCCTCGTGGACTTCATCTGGGAGTGGGATCACGTTTCTGTCACCAACAGTCCCAGCAGGGTAAGGCCAGCCCTGGCCGGTGGTTTAGCTGTACTGTCCTCTCCATGACCCTGATTTTGTACACACAAAACCCAGGTCCCAGGGAGGGGTGTGGTCACCCAGCATCCGGGCCCCCTCTCATACAGCCCAGTCCAAAGGACACCACCGAGACAGGTGTGGGGACAGCACAGGCTGTGAGGACAGAGGGCAGGACACAGAAACCAGCCTATGGCGTCAGCCTTGGCTGTGACCACGACCCTTGCACAACCCCTGGCCTCCCCTCTCCCTGAACCCAGCCTTCAATGTCCCCCCCCAGCTGGTGGTCCTGGCGGTGGAGGACATTGCCCTGGCTCTGATGGAGATCAAGGTGTGTGATGGTCAGGAGCATGTGGTCACCGTGTCCCTGAAGGAGGGCAAGGCCAACTTAGAAGTGGACGGCACCAAGGGTCAGAGTGAAGTGAGCACTGCCCAGCTGCAGGAGCGGCTGGCCCTGCTGGCAACACACCTGCAGGGCTCTGTGCTCACCTTCATCGGGGGCCTGCCAGGTAGGGGACTGCACGGTCTGGCTGGATACCCAGTCCTGCTAGACATCACCACTGCTGGGCAGCTGGCAATGACTGCCAGCCCATCCTGTGTCCAGCAGGGATGGCCAGGCGGGTCCAGGTTGGAGCTGGTACTTCCCCAGCCACAGCCCTGAGCAGAAGGTGTGGTGAAGGGAGGCCAAGTCCCTGCCAAGGTCCCCAGTGCACACACAGAAGGCTCTGGCCCTGGACAGAGAGATGCCATGTAGTTACAGCCCCAAGGCTTAGGGGAGGCTAAGAGCTAGGCTTGCAGCCTGGGTGACGCCTATGGACATGAGATGACACTCATACCTGCTGGCTATGTGTGCACTGTGCTGGGCTGCCATAGCCAGAGGCCATCATCTATGCCATGTGTGGGTCTGCAGCCAGAGTGGTGTCCACGTCAGAGCAGGGAAGAGAACAGGCAGGGCAGGCCATGTGGAGGGCGGATGGATGATGATGAGGGTGGGCACAGGGCTATGAGTCAGCCTCCTCAGGCCTAGCACTGCCTCTGACACGTATCTGTCCCCTTTGTCCAGATGTGCCTGTGACCTCAGCACCAGTCACTGCCTTCTACCATGGTTGCATGACAATGGAGGTTAACGGGAAACCCTTGGACCTGGACGAGGCCACGTACAAGCACAGCGACATCATCGCACATTCCTGCCCACCCGTGGAGCATGCTGTACCCTAGACCTCTGCAGGACGTCCGGGGACTCCTGTCCCGTCATCCAGACAGGAAGGCACAACCCTGCACACCAAGCGGCTGGCCGCCCTGGCGAGATGTTCTCCTGGAGAGCCCTGGGCAGTAACAATCTTGTAAATAATGTCAGAATCAAAGCTGTGCTTGGCCGCAGAGCGACTGAGCTCCCGGGGGACGCATGGGAGGTAGCAGCTCACAGCAGAGTGAACTGGGAGAAAATAGTCCCCTATTATTTTTATTACCACACGCTTCTGACTGACTCTAAAATATGGAGAATAAAATATTTAGAGAAACCTTTCTAACCCTGTGTTTGTGTTCTCTGCTCCGTAAGGTTGAGTGCGGGGAGGTGGTCAGCCATGGCCCCAGCCCCACGCAGAGCAGGTCTCGGGCCTCTGCCTGAGCTGGCCCAATGCTCCTTCCTGCTTCTTGCCAGACTCCTCCCACTGCATCTCTGAGTCCCTGGGCAGGGGCCAAGGGGGCATCACTTTGAATGGGGACCTGGGTTGCCATGTGCTCTCCAGGAATCAAATCTGCAGAAGCCCAGAAACCTCCCTGGAGAAGCCCCAGGCTCTGGGCCTCTTCCTTGAAAAAAAAACACAAAAACAAAAACAAACAAACAAACCGAAAACCCTACCCGTGTTCCTGGTGTGGGGAGCTGAAGTGGGGCCCTGCATGCCCCCTGCTGGTAGCTCTGTCTCTGAGCTTCAGTTTCCTCTGTACCTAATGCCCTCTGACCCAGAGGGCCCAGCTGGGGCGTAACAACAGCAAAAGCAACTGGCGCCGATTCCTATCTGGCCTCTTAGGAGGCGGTTGCCTGGAGGACGGGATGGGATTTAGAGTGGTCCTAAGGGGAAGCCTAGGACAAGTTTCACAGCTCTAGGGCGAGTCCATCTGTGGAGACAGCAGCACCCACAGGCTCCAGAGAAGGTCCCAGAGATGGTGCGGTCAGGGAGGAAGGTCTGTTCTATAAACACTGAGCCCCGCCTTGTATCCTGGACTTGGGCCAGCAGATCCTAAGGCTGGCACAGGGCAGTGCTCCACCTAGTCCCTGCTGGACCCTGAACTTCACGAAGGGCTCTGGGTGACAGAGGCTGGCCCAGCTGAGGCTCAGGTGGGGTCTGGAGCTGTGAAGACCAGAGCCAGGTGCCAGAGAGTCAGGCCTGCATGCCATTGATCCTGAGCAGGATGAGATACCCACCCAGGATGCACGGTAGAGAGGCAGAGGATTAGTCCAGCAGGCCTATGCTCCCCATTTGGTCTTACACAGCCTGGGGGGGGTCACAGGGGGCTGTGACCGCACAGCCAGGGAAGGGCATCATGCAACCCCATGCTGTACAGCCCCTACTCCGATGTTTCTCCTCCTTTGAGGAAGCTCTGGAATTCTAGAATGTTCTGGGAATGTTCTGGAATGTTCCTGGGAACCTCCTGCAGCCAAGGGCAAGAGGCCACAAGGGGAAAGGGCAAACACTGTTAGGGTGGGGCTGGACTGGGCTGGACTGGCTGGACCCAGGCCAAACCACAAGGACCTGCAGCTGCCTTGGAAGGGATACCCATGAGGGGACAGCACTGGGTCTAGGGAGGCTTCATACCTCCATTCTTGGCCTGTTCCCTCAGATGTGGGAGCCAAGCCCTGTTCTATCTCTTGCCAAACACAGCAAACATACAAGTGGCCAAACAATGCAGGCCAGTCCTCCAGCTGGCCAGGCCCCAGGTTCCCGACCACCCTGAGATCCAGACAAAGCCTGAGAGACTTGAGATCTCTGGCCCTGGACAGGAAGGAGAGACAGTGCAGGCTGTGCACCGTGACGGAGGAAGAAAGCTGCTGACTGTGTGCCATGGAGGAGGGGAGAAGGTGCTGACTGTGCACTGTGGAGGATGAGGAAGGGAGGTGCCGACACGAGAAGGCGTGCAGGGTCATGCTGTGGACTTCTATGGTCTGAATTGATTTCGTGTTTTCTCTTTTGAGGCATGAACTGTTTTCTGTGTTTGTCTTGTTTGTTTTCTTGCTTGTTCAGAGCTTCCTGAGAAAGACTTCTTTTCTGAGTGCCTCTCTTGGCTTTAGCACCTCTAGCAGCCCCTTGTCCTCCCCAGGAGACACCTGGCACCCTCTCACCAGCGCGCAGTGCCCAGGAATCCAGGTGCAGCGTTTGCCAGCTAAGCTGGGACAGTAGCCCTAGGGACCTTGACCTAAACAGAGCAACTTTGTGTGGCTCTGCCCAAAGGACTGGGAGCTGCGACGGAGCCCAGGACACATGGGACTGGCAGCATCCTGAATATGTGAGGACACCCTGCTCATCCTCCCAAGAGGCAGGGTCACCCTGAGATGCAGGAAGAGACCCGAGCAGGCCCCAAGGAAGGGAACCTGCATGCCGCATCAGTAGAGACTAGGACGAAGCAGGAACTACAACCTGCGAACACTGCAGGAGTCACCAGGAGGCGCTGTCCACACAGCGGCATCCACTACCCCATCAGGCACCATGGGCTCTCATTAGGGTCACCGTGCACTGGGCATCTGAACCGTGGCTCGACCTCCCAGGCCAGCTTCCCCTGGCCCCATCACCCCTGCAGGCATACTCACGTGCACACAGAAACACTCAGGCCAGTCACTGTGGGGCACAGAGGAGCTCGGTGGGATGGGGATACCCAGCAGTGGGTGCAGCACATACTGCAGGTCTCACGCTCATAGCGGAGCAGCAGAGACGGGAGTGAGGCTCCTCCCACTGGTCCACTCTTGGGGCAAAGCGCCACCGAGGAGCAGCCTGGAGTGCAGCCTTTGGTGGCCTCAGACCTCCTGCCCACACACGGGGTTCCCACATCCCAGCCCACACTTGTCTGAGCACTTCTCCCATCCACAGTGGAGTTCCCACCTTAGACCTTTAGAAACTGGACAAGGGCTGGGGATTTAGCCCAGTGGTTCCACCGCCTGCCTCACAAACACAAGGTCCTACGTTTGATCCCCAGTGCCAAAAAAAAGAAAAATTGACTTCTTTCACTTAGCAACTGGACAAGAAGCTGTGGGTGGGGGCTACTCCTGCTGGCCTTCCCGCCTCTGCCATGGGCAGGCAAAACTGGAGTCCCCTGGAATTGGGGGCCCCTGGTCCTCATCCTTTCTGCTATGCTAGTGCATGTGGGGGTTGCAGTGAGAGCCCCACCACCTGGAGACCACAGGACACCAGAGGCAGGGGAGGCTGAGAGTGCCGACCCAGCTGCCCCCAGGCTGTCTCAGCGCCTCTTGATGGCCAGATCCATGACAGCACCCCGTCTCACAGGTCCACACCCAGACCCCTGTCGTGAGCACCCGGGCTTCCGTGGGGGCCCTCACAGGCAGCTCACTGTAGAACTCATGGAAATTCCTGTCACCCATGGCAGTCACCCATCACCCCGGCCCCTGCCCCAGCTGGAACTCTCCACACCCCTGGGTGAAGTGGAGGTACACGGCCCCTGGCTGGGGTCTGGGTGGGAGCCTCAGTGTGCCACTCTAGTCTGAGGTCAGATGATGTCCCATTCCATGGTCAGACAACACCTATGTTGTCCCTGCTTTCTGGCTTCTAGGAACAGCGCTGCTGTGCCAATCTCCTTTGACAAACATGGAAACTGAGGCAGGGGAGGCTGTAACCCAGGTCCAGAGCCTCAACTGCCCAAAGCTGCCATGTGATCCCACGTCCATCTTCCTCCATTGCCTGTGCCTGGCCCTTTGCTGCCCCATCCTCCCTGTAGGCGGGGGACACAGATGGGAAATGCCCCCTAACACACTCTGCAGATGGAGATGGGGCCGTGGGCCCCGTGCTCCCCACGATGCCCAGCGCCTGCTGAGGGGGGTCTTTACTCTGAGGTGCCCAGAGGCTCCACCCAAACCTCTGCTCTGGTCTGGGAGAGCCCAGTGATTGGACTGGGTGTCCTCCTGGTGGGACAGCCAGAGCCCCTTTCTCAGGGGCCCCACCGATGCAGCAGAGGGTAGGCGGCCTGGAAGTGAACTGTTCTCAGTTCTTATAGCTGGGCAAGGGTTAGAGACATCCTTGTAGGAGTGAACAAAATCAGTGGCCTTGTGGTTAAATGTTCTTAGTGGCTCTGGCCTGCCGTCTGGGTCACAGGTTAGGCCAGGAAGGTAAGTACCGTGTGCAGAGACATTAGAGGACACTGGGGACACCCAGAATTGCACCTTGGGGAGGGCCAAGCCCCACACGGTGCAGTATCGACTGGTTGAGACCTCATGAAGGCTGCCCTGTGGCCTCGGAGACAGGCTGGTGGCCCAGGCCTGCAACCTGGCTTCGCTGTTCTGAGGGGCCCAGGACCCACGTGGGAGGCCAAAGGCAAACCATGATGTGCCCAGTACGAGGGGACCCTGGACACAAGACCCTGGCCCCATGCCCGGGGAGAGACAGGGAGGGACTCTGCTGCTCTGGAGAACCAGCTGCCATTCTTTGGCCTCGATGTGTTACACAGAGCAAGTCCCCCTGTTCTGGGGGCCCACTCTTACCACATGCCTCTCATCTCCGTGGTGGGCACCTAGCTCAGGTTGGTCCTAGCTCCTTGAACTCTGCCGGAGGGGAGAATGGCTCTCCTATCACCATGTCAACACCCCTTTCATACAGAGCTTAGGGCCAGCTCTGCGCACCACGCTCATCTAGGACCCCTCAAGAGAGCCACCATTAGGGTGGGTGCCCAATGACCCTTGACCTGGGCACCCAGCCAGGTGCCACATGGAGCCCAAGGCCCTGAAAGACCCTGGGAAGATCTCAGAGGCTGCATCCAAGAAAGACAAAACAGACTCACACATGAACTAAAACCACACTCCTGTAAGATCTAGAGTCTCCCATAGCTGCAGGGGGAAACCCAACCAGCAGAACTCAACTGGACAGACAGGGCAATCCTGAAGGTCACCTCTAGAATCGGCTCACCTATGCAGATGTGGCAGCAGAGCATAGGCTCAAGGTATAGGTGGACCAGGTCAGGGAGGGATGTGGTGGGGCCAGGGCATCAGCTCAGAGTGTCAGGAGCTAGCAGTGGGCACGTGGGTGGACTGATGATGTGAGATTTGTGTACTGATATCCTAGGTTCCACAGGTTCCTATCCTGCACCAGCCAATTCTTACATTCACAGGTGTGACTTTTACTGCCATCCTCTTTGCCTGGTTAGGCACAGCTGGCTGCATGTAGGGGACACAGATTAGTCCCTGGTAATCACTGAAGTGTCAGTCCAGGTTGTGGTGCCCTGTGTCCTCTGCCTGTGTGACTTGTGGCAGCACCAAGGACATGAACAGGTGACAATCCCTTCCTTCCATGGCCACTAAGGATGCACTAGGCTCTCCTCTAGTGCCTGATGACTCCTGACACTCTCTTCACGCTTCACTGTTTCACCCGATGCTCAAGCCAGGTTTCTCCTGTGGAAAAATTCAGATGGCAGAGAGGGAACAGGCCACCAGAGAGCCCCAGCCAGTGCCACCTGCCTGTTCCAGTACCTGTGAAGTTAGGCTTAAACACAGGAACAAAGATGTGGGCACTGAGGAGAGAGCCTTGGGCCATCAGCCTGAGGACTGTGCCATGCCCAGAAGCTGGAGGACAGCAAGATGGCCAGGAGACAGCAGGTGGCCAGGTTGACATAAGACACAATGGGGAGCTGCAGCTTCTGAGTGCTACGTGACATCAGCGGGCACAGGGCTCTGTCTCAGCCAAGAGAAATTTTTTTTTTATTTTGCTAATTTCCAAGGTTTGGACACAGCAAGTCAATAATTTAGCAAACTGGCCACTGACCATGTGACCTGAAAAAGGCAATGGTGCAGAGTTCCACTGATGCCTTTGAACCTCGACTTCCAAAGCATCACTGAGGACAGAAAGGAGACCCTAGAGGTTATGGGGAGATCAGGGACATACTCCCAGGGGTTGCAGGGGCTCTGGGGACACTGTCCTGGGCCCATAGGGAGGCTGGGGACCACATTCTGGGGGTCATGAGCGGCTGGAGATGCCTGGTCCCAAATGAGTTAGCACAAAGTAAGGCCAAGATCACAACCTCCTGGAAAACAGGCTCATGAGGAACAAACGAACAATGATAATAATCAATGGTGATGGGTCCCAGGCCGGTGACTGTGTCTGCTCTTCACAGCCAACAGCCAATCCCACTGGCTGCCTAACTCCACCAATGACCTCCTTGGCCATCCTATGCCCCTCAGGCTCCCACACAGGCCTCTGCTCAGAGCCTTTGGTTGAGGGGTCTATTGGACATTGTGGCTCTTGGCCAGCAAGGGCTGAACCTGCAGAGCTGTGTCCCTTTGTCCTCCTTGGACCCTAGGATTCAGAGCTTCAGGGGAAGAAAGACCCCACCTCAGGCACCATGGCTGGTTATACAAAATGAACTGAGGACAAGCAGATGAAGGTGGCAGGGGCGGGTTTATTACAGCCCAGACAACACAGGAAAGACAAGGCTCACAAGGCTTAGAGGCCAAAAAAATTGGGGGGCCATGAGATTGGGGGCTGCAAGATTTGGGGGCTATGAGACGTGGGCCCCAGGAGACTTGAAGTCTGTGAGACTTGGGGGCTCTTGTGTGGAGGGCTTGAGTATGAATGGTGTTGGGGCAGGGTGAGGCCTTTGGAAGACAGAGGGATGCAATGGTCAGGGTGTATGGGTAGCACTGCCCCTCAGGAAGAGCCCCTCTTCTGGCAGAAATGCTGGGAGGCACTGGGCCCAGCCCCCGCAGCTCTGTCTTTTGAGTGGATGCAGCTCCTTCTGCCATTGATGGCTCCCAAGAGACTTCAGCACAAAAGAGCAAATAGTCCAAGGCACACTGTTGGGACGCATCCCCAGATTCCTTGACACCAAGGCACTCACTTGGGGTGCGTTCTGGGCCTCCCTGGCTCTCTCTATGACTCTGGTCCACCAACTCAGTCTTTGGCTGGTTCCAAGGATATTCACCGATTCCCAGGTGCGTCTGGCAGAGGTGCATGTGCGAGGCCTCAGCTGAAGGCCTTGGGACCCACCCCCCACACCTTTCTGGAACAGAGGTTGAATGCAGCCTCCATGGTGGCTCTGCTGCAGGGACCAGGTATGGACTCATCTGGGATGGCTTAGAGGACTACAGGACTGCGCACAATGTGGAGAGTGTCCCAGCCAGTAGATGGCTGCTCTACTTGAGTTGATGCAGACCTCGGGCAGCTCCCGGCCTTTTGGAGAAGCACTGGATATTTGACCAAAGCTTGTTTTCACTCCAAACAAATGTCAGAAGGACACAAGAGGCAGGGCAAGAGTGACCTCCTTGAGAACACACATGCACACTTCCTGTAAGGAGGCAGGCACACAGGCACAGGACAACAGCCAGCCTACTAATGGGAGGGGATCTAACAAATCAACAATCACCAGGCAGCCCCTTCCATTTGAGGAGGCCCTGCTCCCCTCTACCCTGGCCTGGCCTGGAAGAGGACCTGCCCCAAGAGGGTGGGCAGGCATGGCCTTCCAGAACATTTTCAAGGTTCTCCAGGAGTTTGGCTGCAAAAGCAAGAGCTCTAGAGGAGGCTTTAACACGAACAAATAAACAAAAAGTATTTTTCACTCTAGTGCCTCGGCATCAGGGAGCATAGGGGGGAGGCTTCTCCCCCAGGGGGAAGGAGGCTGGAGTGCAGAGTGGTGGGGCATTGGGGGGGCACCCAAGGCTGGAGCTGCCCTGGGGGAGAGGCCGGGCATCCTCGTGCAGGGAGAGCTCAGAGGAGGGCTGCAAGTAAACAGAGAAGGCAGTCCAGGTCATCCAGTCCCACACCAGCCAATGTTCAGGACACATGCCAGTGCCCACCAGCCCACCCATTGTATCAGCTCCTGTAGTACCTTGTCCTCATGAACTCGGCTTCCAAAGCCTCTGGGGAGATGCCCTAGGGAGAGTCACCCAAGCCCTCCTCAGATATTCCCAACCCATTCTGTCCAAGACCATCAACATTTCCAGTAAAGTATGATAGCTAATTTTTTTAACAGTGTTTTGTTAATCACCAAATTGTACAGGAGGACTGGAACTCACAATCCTCTTGCCTCAGCCTCCCTTGGTGTTGGGATTACAGGTGTGCACCACTGCGCCTGGTCCTAAGAATTACTTTTAGTCATCCGATCAGACATGTGCTCAAACTACCGTCCAACATCTCAGTGAAGGTGGTGGTTAGCATTTAAATTAACAACTCTTGAATGAACATCCTGGGTCTATGCATTTATCCAACCGTGGGTATCAAGGGGGTTTCTGAGAACATTCTCTCAAGTCTGCCTGGCCCTGTACCTTGCCCATAGTCCAATCTGCCCTTCAGTGAAAATGAACAGCCATGTGAACCTCACAGTAAACCCTCCAGAGCTGCTGAGCAAACCACCTAGAACCACGGAGTAAACCCCCAGGAACCACAGAATAAACCACCAGGAACCATGGAGTGAACCCCAGGAACCAGGGAGTAAGCCCCAGGAACTGCAGAGTAAACCACCAGGAACCACAGAGTAAACTCCTAGGAACCATGGAGTGAAACCCAGGAACCACGGAGTGAAACACAGGAACCACAGAGTAAACCACCAGGAACCACGGAGTAAACCACCAGGAACCACAGAACAAATCAGCCCACAGACAGCACCCCTTTAGACCAACCCTGTCCACAGGGGACTTATGTGACATGAATGCTCCCATAGCAACAAGACTCGTTGGGCCTCACAACAGGGACCTCCCTGCACTTCACTTGGGAAGCTGCGGGGTGAATGGACTGGGTCCTTTTGAAACTTGACTTCCTGCTTAAAACAAACCCAAGGCCATCCTTCTCCTTGTGTCACCACAGGGAGTGGTCTGTCTACGTTGACATCCAGCCGCAGCTACGAGGAAGCAGGTGGCACCTGTCTGATCCGCGCCCTCTGCGAGCTGATCAGAAGCCCTTGTGTCAGTCCACACCCATGTGTGCTGGCACTGCAGACTGCCCCGGCCATCAGGAGAAAGGGGCACATCAGTTAAGAAGGCCCTGGAGGCAGAGAAGGGACCTCTGGGGGACATGACCGATACATTCAGGCACAAATGCTGGCACCAGGACCAACTTCCCTGAGGCCCCAGGTACCCAGCAGGAAGAAGAATCACAGCTCTATCCTAAGGTTCCCCTGTAGGGCACCAGGTGTCGGGAAAGGCCCATTCTGCAGGGCACCCAGAGCTGCTCCCAGCACCTGTGTGATTCGGGGCTGTCTGTGTCCAAGGCAGACAGGCAGTGTGGGAGCCTCCAGGTCCTGCCCTTGTCAAACTTACTATCTCACGTCCTGCTTTGGCAAACTCCTGTGAGGATGGCCCTTCCCTTATGGGACAGGGGAGGCCAACCAGAGTGGGTGTGAAGCACCAGGGAAGACAGAGCCGCAGAGGTGGCGATGCTGGTGTCTCCACCGCCTACACTGGTGTGACCACAGCAGGGTCACCACAAACACTGAGTCATTTCCTGACCCTTACCATGTCCTGAAAGAGAAGGCTCCCCATGAGCCAGGCTGAACCCCAAGAGGCCTCTTCTTGCCTTGCTTAGAAGTCACCCAGCCCCACTAGGGTGCCCTGCGGGCATAGCCTGGGAGCTGCCACAGTGGGAAGCCAGATCCCTGCCAACCTTGCAGAACAGGTGGCTACAGCCTAGGTCTGGGTGTTTGGGCCACAGCTGTTCTGGCCCCACGTGCTGCTAGCCTTACTTCCTTGAGGTCATGAGTGAGCATGTGGCTCTGTCCCAGACAGTCAGGACTAGGTGCTCAAACAGTCCCCGTCAGGCACTTTCCTAGCAAGGTCTCTCTCCTGCTGACCTTGCTCAGCAGGCACAGGCTCCCCAGAGGATGCCCAAAGACTTGTGACTTCAAACATAGGACACCAGCCCACTGGCCAAGCCTACACATTCTCTGAGGGTTGCTCCACGCAGCTCTGGGCCTGTTGTCCCTGTTTGTTCTGACATAGCCATGTAACAGGCTCCCCCTGCCAGACAGGAAGTCTTGAACTGCTTGGACCTGTCATCCTCCACGTGCCTCCTGAGGACACTGGACACCATCTCCTGACTGTTTCAGTTGTCACAGCTGGGCAACCACATGGACAGGACCCAGGACACCAGCCCAGGAGGTGATTTCCCTGAATGTCCAGTGCTAAGGCCCAGGAGAGTGAAGGTGCCCCAGGATGATCTGGGCCTGTTTCAGTCCAGCCACCAGGCCCAGGAGGAAACCAAGGCAGGAGAGGAAGTGGAGGCAGCACAAGAGCCTGCCTGGCTAGTGCCCTCTCCCCAAGGCTCAGGGCCAGCAGTGTCAAGCATGTGAAGTCTACACAGTCACTGTTCTTACAGTAAACCTCGTCAGGTGCTGGCAGACTCAAAGCTCCCCTCAACTCTCTCAGTGCTCTTGTGTGTCCGGCCGCCCAGCAGCTGGCCGTGTGCTCAGTCACACAGGCCTGTGCAAGGTCAGCTCACAGCTGGTCATTGGCAGAGCCCAACTGAACCCCAGGGCAGTGACAGAAATGACTCCTCTATGTGGCCCCCACACCCTCCTGCCACCACTGGGCATCACAGGGAGGCCCAAGTCAACATCCGTCTCCACCTGATCACGGCCCACCCACCCGCATGACCCAGTCTCCAGGAGCCCAGCTGATGCAGGGGCGCATGCCTACCTGAAGAGGCAGAGGGTAAGATGAGCAGGTGGGCATGGCTGTGGGCGAGCAGAAGCCAGTATAGGCTAGGACCTGCTGGGCAGGGTTGTAGAGGATCTGAGGAGGCAATGATGGGCTGTAGGCCAGCTGTGACAGGGGGACCTGTGGGAGAAGGGGTGGTTGGTACTATACCACCGACACCTGGCCTTGGGAGCCCTCTCTACAGCACCCACAAGGACAGCCCACATCCTGACACTGTGCTCAGTCTGAAGGCACCTCTGGAGGCTGGAGGGGCAGCCAGGGAACAGGGAGGAGGGCTGGCGTGGACCACACGGTCCTCAGTGTATTGGAATGGAAACCAGCACAGGTCTGAGGAGAACTAGACTGTTCCTGGAGATGGCACGACACAAGCTCTGGGACAGGAGCCAGGGGGTCCCCCAAAGATCTGGGCTGCCATGTAGGTGGGCTCTGCCTGCAGGCTGTGGTCTCAGCTGGGCCATGGACACAAGGGACTGGCTATGGCAGGGACTTCACTTCAGAACAGACAGACACCCTGAGAGGCCAGGATGGAGATGGGGAGCTGTCCTGCTCAGCTGGCCCCCAGGGAGAAGACAGGTAGGGTAGGGAGGGTAGGGCAGGTAGGGGTGGGGAAAGTCCAGCCTGGGCTGCTCAAGGGCCAGGCCAGTGGGGTCAGGAGATCAGAGGCTCACAGCGGCCTCCCCAGAGCTGGTTAAGGTGGGCCCTGTTTATGGTGGCTCTGGGTAGCCATGAATCCCACACAACTCCACCGAGTGGCTGTGAGTTGAGCTCGGTTGCCTAGAGGGGTGGCATAGCCCTGCTTTGGGGGTGGGAGGGTGAGGTTAGGCCACTCCTGTAAAGGCATAAATGGGTCTGCTGCCACGGAAGAAGTGGCGAGCGCTGGCTAGTGCCAGGAGGGCTGTGGAGCCCTTGAGGCCAGCACCTCCTCTGGCAACACAGCCCCTGACTAAGTGCTATTCGCATGCTGGAAGATGCCACTCACCATGTCCTTGAAGCCCCCCAGCACAGCAGCTGTGACAATGCCCACACATAGGCCCAAGATGTTCAGCACTGTCGAGACCCAGAGCAGCCGGTAGAGGTGGACCACGTCCTGACAGCTACGCACACCCACAAACTCGTAGTAGGTGGGGGACAGCTCTGTGCTGCACACAGGAGGGAGAAGCAGCATCACCCAGGGGCCTGGGCACGGCCTGACAACCACATCAAGGGCCAAGGCAAGGCGAGGCGAGGTAACCACTCTGAGGGCCGGGGCCTGCTGGGTGATAACCTTGCTGTGGTTAGAGCCATGGTCAGACAACCTTGTGTTCTGGGCAGCATGGGACAGGTGACAAAGCCAGTTGGTGCCAAGCTCTTTCTCACATGGCACAGCCTCTGAGGCAGAGCTGGCCTTGGTCACCTGCCCAGCAGGCTGCTCAGTCCTTCAGGGCTGCTGAGCGTGCTCAGCATGCTCCTCTGGCCACAGAGCCTGGCTTCACAGGGTCTCTGATGCACCCTATGCCCACTGCCTTGGCATCAGGCCACAGAGCGGCATTGAAGCCAGGCCTTGATTTCCCTGTGAAGCAACGCTGGATGGGAACTGATGTCCAGCCCTAGCCCGGTCCTGGCAGGTCTCCTAGAGGTCATCTCGCCCTCTTGGTGTGGAGTGTCGGCAGGAGACACACTGCCCATCCTGTGCATCTGAATCTCCACGCAGACAGCAATTGATGCAGGGACAGTAATTGCCTTGGAGTATGAGACAGGAGCCCTGTGCCACCAAACATCCTAAGCTGGCAGCTACCCGAGGCCGGGCCTGCAGCCACCACCAACCTGACCAGGCCTGAATGGCACCACCCAGGGCTCACGTCCCAACTACCCAGGGAGTGTGAAGAGGCGATGCTTGTGGAAAGTGGGGGTACCCAGGGTGCAGGAAGACACTGCCCAGACTAGGGGTGGCAAGGCCTCTGGTCACACAGGAACCAGCCTGCACAGGTCGAAGCAGGCATTCCTGCAGATCCCATGCTGGCACACAGAAGGGGAAAGCACTCACTGCTTGAGTGACATGACTTCCTTAGTCTGGGCCAGGTCCAGGAGGGAAGGGCCACGGGGACAAGAGGCCACATGACTGGTGCACACATAGCAAGCCAGCCCTGCATGCTGGCATGCCGTGCTGGCCTCTGTCCCCTCCCACCCAGCAGAGGGCTCACTTCTCAAAGAGGGGCCCACCTGCATTTGGAGAGCTGGCTGCGCAGGACAGTGGCTGAGCCACCCCCTCCTCTTCATGCCAGGGGACGTGCAAACACACGGCGCCCTCATGCACCATCTTACCCTGAGAGGCCAGTGCCACCCTGGCAGCTGTCTCCAGCAAGTGACAGCCAGAGGCCAGGGCAGGCTTAGATCCCTCCTCAGCCCATGCTCTGCGAGCCTTGGGGAAGACTCAGCCTCTCTGAGCCTCTGCTTTCCCACCCAGGAATCCTCATCAGGGCCCACAGAACGGGGTGGGGAGATGGCTGTGAAGGCTGTGCACACGCATGCATGTGTGTGCGTGTGCATGGGTGTGCACATGGTATGCAGCCGGCCCTCACCTGTCACATGTGTAGAGGTCGCAGCAGTAGCAGGTGTTGCTCCTCACCTTCAGCTGGCACCTGCCCATCAGGGAGTGGCAAGTGACCTGGGGAGAAGGACAAAAGCACACTAGGGTGGGGCTTGACTCCCACACAGGGGCCTCAGGCCCGGCCCCTAGTGATAGGGCCTGCGCGCAGCCCAAGTCTTCCCTACTGCACTGGTGCAGGTGCCAGACAGAGCCGTTCCTGGCATCTCACTCTGCAAGAAAGTGGGCAGAGCTACAGTGGCTGTCCATGGCCGGAAAGCTACATGCCTTTCCAACATCCCAGAGTTTCTGGCAGTGATTAAGCCGGTGAAAATGCTAACGGAAGCCAACAGAGCTGGACCGACAAATTGCAACACCATCAAAGAAGCAAGTCACAGACATTGAATGCCAAGGCCAGCACAGCCACAAATGGGTGCTGTGAATGGCACCACACGTGGGTGAAGACAGGGCAGGAAGATCTGTTAGAACAAAAGCAGTCACGGACTGGGGATTTAGTCAGTGGCTCCAGTGCCTCCCTCGCAAGCACAATGACCTGAGTTCGATCCCCAGTGCCAAAAAAAAAAGCAGTCACATCATGACCAGACAGGCAGCAGTGGGACTGTGGCGTCAGTGAGGATGGGCCAAGAGGCTCACCTCAGTCTGAAAGACGTCATACAAGTACCCGGTCCCACTGGAGTAGAACTGGCACCTTCCCATGCTGAGGGGTCTCAGTTCCTAGAAGGAAGAAGCGCAGTGGTGGAATTGCCGTTCCCGTCGCAGACCTGCCTGCCACGGGCTCAGACCGCAGCACGGAAGCCAATGCCACCTAGAGCCATGGGGCTCCTGCATCCAGGAGGCAGAGGCAGAAGCCTGGGGAGGGCCCCTCTGTCCAATGGGTGGGGTTGAAACATCTCCACTGGTCAACCTAGGGGAGAGAAAGAGGTGGTCACCTGGCCTGCTAGGGGCAGTCCACAGCTGTGCACAACCGTCTGGGCTCCTGTCTCTTCCTAAAGTGAAACGACACTCTACTAGGACAACAGCAAGGACTCAACTAGTTAATTCAACCCCATCTGTCCATCCATCCATCCATCCGTCCATCTCTACCCTCAGCTTCCACAGATTCCCACTCATCCATCTGTCCATCAGGCATCCACTCATCCGTACTCACCCACACGCCCCTAGCCATCCACCCGTTTACCACCTGTCCATTCATCGTCCACCCACCCATCCACCACGCATCTGTGTACACTCAGGCTTCCATACTGCTCCATCTGTCCATCCCATCTGTCCCTCCCTCTCTTCTCCACCTACCACACACCATCTATCCCTACTCCTCT